CCATACTGAACACCCTTAAATTCCAAATGACTTTTAGGAGCAGAAAAAATGAAATCAATGTCACAACTTGCTGTTCTGTCAAGAAGATGGAGGCCATCAGAGATGAAGCTGGATCCTTTTCAAGAAGTAGTTTTAGAGAGCAGTAGTGTTGATGAATTAAAAGAAAAGGTAAATTAACCTCATTTATATGAATATCCTTGCCTTACAGAATTCATAGTTACTTTCTTTTGTGAAGCTCTAAAAGTTTCCAGAGTCACAGTGATCATTAAAAGAACATTTTGGGGTTTATTGGTAGGTTCAAACATTATGCTGTGCCACAGTGTTGCATACGGTATGCTAAGCCAGCTTTCCCCAACTTTAAGTAACTTCAGATATATAGATAATTCCCCAACCAGCATGGCCCTTGCTGAGAAGGCTGTTATTTAAAGTCTGCCCAGTTTGGGAAAAGCTGTCCTGTGTCATTGTGCCGTTTGGTTTTGGCTTAGCCTGTACTGTGAACCCAGTCAAATATGGGTTATTCATAAACAATGATTAAACAAACCATATTCCAGCAGAATGTATGAACCAATTTTCTTTGTGCATATAAAATATCTGCTTAATTTATTCATAAACAAAAACATACAAATTGGATTTTTAGAGTACCTGGGCAGTGATTGCTTCTGCCTCATAGGATTTAAGGAAGCAACCATAAATGGAAGTTTATGTTCCAACAAAACTTTCCCAGCTTAATTCTCCCAATGTTTTAGATTGCAGCTCACATCAGCCCCAGTGAGCAAGGCCAATGGGAATTATAGCCTAAACAGTTGGAGAAATTCAGCTGAGGACTATTGCTCAGATAGCTGTATGATAGTGTCTCATTTCCATTCGTATTAGGTGGAGCTGTAGACTTACTTGCATGAGTTCAGGAACGAAAGAGAGATCTGATTGCTATTGTTTATGGGAAAAGAAAGTGATCCAGTAGGCCTGACTTTCAATACATATTTTACTCCATATTTACAAATCGTAATTTGTTTATAAAGAACTATATTTGTTGTGCGTTAGGCAGTAATAGTTAAATGTTCAACCTTAAAAATACATTGTAATACCAAAGGTGGTAGGATAGCAAGAGCTAAATGACAGGAGTAGAAGAAACAAAAAATGATAAGCTGTTACCTCAAACTGTTGAACTCTTTTAGTAATTTTGCATATTTTTAAGGCATCTCTGATAGAAATGTTAAGTCAGAGTGGGAAGGATGTAGAAGCCATCCAGTCCAGGCCCCCTGTACAGTTCAGAATTTGCTAAACCATCTATCAAAGATGACCATCCAGTCTCCCTTTGGAGACCATTAGTGCACTATAAGTGATGTGTAGTTTATTTTTAAAAAATAAAAAGCTAGGAATCTGTATCAGTTGAAATGCCAGAACATAGTGCATAAAATGGGAAACTACCGGCAAGCATATATGAAACTGCATATACCTTACCATTTGGAAATAAACTCATTTTGATATATATTTTTTCACAGCTTAGTAAAATAAGTGGAATCCCTTCAGAAAATATTGAATTTGCGAAGGTGAGTTGTTAATTATTTCTTCAAGCTGCTGGATGTGGTTCAGATTTCCTCTTAGCTGAGCTTTGCTCAGAACGTGATGATCAAATACTGATAGGTATCCCCTTTTTTTTGCTATAATACTGTCAATCCTCTGAAGATTTTGGTGAAATTTGGAGGGGGGCTGGAAAAGACATCCTCCTCTATCAATTGTCTGTGATAGGCATTTCTGCTGGATCTTCCTTCAAGCAGAATGAAAGTTTGTCTTTTTAATGTGTGAGTGAGTAAAACATCCATCCATTGATTCCATGTATTTAATATTTGATTTCATATAGCATTGGAAAATGTAATTGAGTTGTGTGTTTGAGAAAGGGATTGATTTGGAAATAGATATATAAATGAAGAGCATTATTGATGATTTTCATATCACACCTACATTTTGTATATATACAATTGTGTTGGGCCATAATGTACATAGTTACATAACTTACACATTTTATTAAGATACTCTGTTTATCTTTCCAGGGTAGAGGGACATTTCCATGTGAGATCTCTGTTCTAGAGATACATCAAGATTTGGACTGGAATCCTAAGGTTTCCACACTGAATGTATGGCCTCTCTACATTTGTGATGATGGAGCAGTAATATTTTATAGGTACATCCTTTTATGTCATTACCTCCTATAAATGGAAAAACCTTGCAAAAATTTTCAATATGAAAAGATAGGAATTTTGGAACAGTGATTTAAATGAATCAAGAACAAACCATAAATCGTTCATATTCTGATTGCATGAGTTTGATTCTCTTTATGATCTTGTTAATCTTGTATACAATGAATCCAGTTTTACTCTTAATGCTTTCAAGATGCATGTAACTGTAGGCTAGCACAGTCTAAAATAACTTGGGTTTTATGCCTACCACTGGATGTGCAACTAAGCAAAGGTAATACATAATATATTTTATGTAAATACAAGTGTCACTGTACAAGCGGGTGTGCTGCTTGACTGCAGCGTCCTGGTGAATGGCATTCTCTTAGAGAAGGGACTCTTAACAAGCCTCTCTCAGCTTTTACTGGACAGGTAGACTCAGCTCAGTGTAGGTGGTCTCAAAGGTGTCTGGGGTCTGACCCCTGGAGGGCTTTCAAGGTGTTGACCAGCATCTTTAATTATACCCAGAAGCAGACTGGCAGCCAAGCTGGTTCCTGTAGTACTGGTGTCATGGGCAAATCTAGGTAGACTCATAATCACCCAATATGTTGCAGCAGCTGAAGCTTCCAAATGGTATCCAACAGGAGCCCCACATAAAATGAATTGCAGCAGGCCAACCACAAGGTGACAGGGATCTGTGATTGTGTACAGTGCTTCCTGATCCAGGAATAGTACATTAGATAAAATTATATCAAGACCCTCCTAGCCAAGGCCTCCATGTGCTGTTTAAGCAGGAGCTGTGAGTCCTAGAGAACTTCCAAATTAACAAGCCAGCTTTGCTGAAATAATTTTAAAAGCTGATTTTTTACAAATATGTGCAGATGATATAGCATTTACTGTCAACAGTATAGTTCTAGTATACTATTTTCTTCCTCCATGCATAGTAATTGTCTTCAGTTACACATGCAAATATGTGAAAGAATGAGTAATTTTTTTAATATTGTTGATCATCTGGCAGATTCACTATTTGAATTTTTTTCCCCCATTCCAGTAAGACAGTGGGCAGTTTGCTAGCTTGCTCCTTTTGGATCTTTGGATGGTAAAGATTTTTTCCAATTTCCCATATTCTGCCTCTTACCTGGCTACTCTGAAGTATTTTCCTAGTGGTTGCTTTTGCATTAAGAGCTGTCAGTTCTTAACTCCATCTCAAAATCATGTGAAGTACGGGTGATTTTATCTAGAACACCTTGTCCAGAAAGTGTTTCTTTGAGGACACTGAATGTATTGATACTGCTTGGTTAAAAATGAGAAAATCTGTGTGCTTCTTATAGAGCTTAATCTTTTTCTATTTTTAGGGATAAAACCGAAGAAATGGTGGAATTAACTGAAGATCAGAGAAATGAGCTCATGAAAAAAGAAAGCAGTAGACTTCAAAAAACTGGACATCGTGTGACCTACTCCCCTCGTAAAGAAAAAGCACTAAAAATATATCTTGATGGAGCGCCAAATAAAGATTTGACTCAAGACTGATATTTATTTCAGCATTTTCTCTGGGGAATTTTTCTTAAGTGTGAAAAAGGTACACAACTACTGTGTAGTGCCATTACGGCAGGACATTAGGTATAAAGAAAGGCACCAGCACTGATTGGTAAAGGACAGCCCAGTCCCGTTCAGTGCCCAGTCAAGTCCCCGTTTGACTTGGAATCATGTTGTGCACTATAGTCAAATGTACTGTAAAGAGAAAAGGGATGTGCAAATAAAAACATAGAAAAGTATGGCTGGGAGGGTAATCGGCAAAAATTGGAGATATATGTGCACATAGCAGTAGCTAGTCAACTAGCCACAGACAGGATATTCATAGCTTAATAAAAGCTGTGCAAAGGCCATGAATGATTTTTGTTTCCTTCACTGATACACACATTACCTCACTGAAGATTTCTGAAGTAAATGTGACAGTGGTTTTTTATAAAAGCAAAGATGTGGAAATGGACTAGAAATGTGATGAAATTGGCAGAATCCAACCCTTAAAAGCTTAACTTTTAAGTCTCTCATTGGACTCATCTTCCACGAAGCAAGACATCTGGAAAAAAAAGTATTTTTACTAAAAGTTACCATTACCAGCAGGTGGTGTTTATTTTGCAGAAGTGTTGTAACTGATTTTGCTAGGTTATGAATAATGGCAATGTCACTATTCTGTTCAGTGTGTAAATACAATTTTGCTCTTCTGAGTTATCAGAACTACATTTCAACTTACTACGGTATTTCTTTTCACATATCAATATTCATTGTGTACATTTAAAAGCATAGCTGCCTATTTAAATTTGTATTCCTTTTGTTTTTGTTTTGTTTGGGGGGTTTTTTGGAAATGTTGGGTACTTAGATTTGTAATGTTTCCTTGTTAATGAGTTCTTGGAGTTTTTGTTTGGTAAGCTACTTTTGTACATTTTTGGTCTAGGGCTCTTACATGTTTGCTTTTTATAGCATCATTGCAAATCACACTTTTTCTTGGAGTTGATTCATAGTTTTTATATGTAGCTTTTTTTAAATGAATGGCCTTCATTTAACACCTCCCAGTATAAAGTCTGCGGTAGTTCAAAATGTGGTACAGATTGATGCAGTACATATGATTTAATTGCAAAGTCTATATAAGTGAGTTTTAATTTGCTACATGATAAGATCAATTACAAACAATATCATAGAGGGGTTTCTTTTTTGTTTTGAAAATACTATCTAATTTATATCAGTAAAAGGTTTTGGTAAACTTTTCCATGCCAGATGCTGTTTACAACAATGAACACAAAAATAAAGCATTTGTTCATCCTGTTGTTACTTTAATCACACTTTGAAATTTATTGTAAATAGTCAAAATACAGGATTGTTTTGCAAAGAATTCTTATGGGGGGAGGGGAGCCTTTTGAATTGACTTCCAAGTGTTACCTGGCTGGTGGAACTTAAATTGCCATAAATACTTGCAGCTAATTGTCGAAAGATATCACAGGTATTTGCTTGAATACATGAAGCTTTTATTCTGCAGAGATGTCAGTGCTGCACAAAGATCTGAATAGTTTTTTGTGTGTTTAGCTTCTTATCCAATTCAGGAGTCTGGGATCAGGTACTGAGATATATGCATTTTCAGGGAAAAACATGAATACGGTTCCTAGTGAGGCCTTTGAAATGAACAAAGGTTGGGGTATAGGTAGATAGGTACATGGCCAGTGCATATATTCATCCCTACAGTGTTTGAAACCCTCGCACAGACAAAATTTTGACCAGGGCTCTGATATATTCCTTTTAAGGATTGGCCAGTGCTGCTAAAAATGTAAGGGTTGGAAAGATGTTTCTATGGCATACTAAGATGGTTACAGGGTTTTTTTTAAGTCTGGAAAAGCTCTAATCTTCCAATATTCAGATACCCTAAAATAACTACTGTAATTGCATTTTCCCCTTCATGGAGCTGCACTTAAATTTTGAGAATTTGAAGTTGATTTGAGCTGTACCATGGAAAAAAATACATCCCCTGAAACTCTAGATGATCAAATTTTTATCTTTGTGTATTTGTACAGCATGAACTCACGTTTCACAAGTCTCTGGGTATCACTATTGCAAGATAAGTGTTTCGGCTTTATTGCAGTACCCGTTCATCATTCTTAATTTGAAAGCAGCGTTTTGGGACAACCCACCCAATTTCAACCATGCTGCCATTCAGGAAACGTTCATTCCAAATCAAGACGTGCAGCTCAGACACTGTCATTTCTACCTGGTGTGGACAATATGATTAAAACAGACTCTCCTGATACCCTCAGCGCATACTGGGCACCAAGCTCCTATAGGTTCCTGTCATATGGCTAAGTACATAGTATCCTTCAGTACTGTTGGGCTGAAAGGTTGGCTTATTTTTATACCTCTTAAATTACCACCTTTTTCCAACCAGCATCCATGGCAAATTCTTATACTTTGTATCTTATCTGAAAGCCTAAGGCAAGGTCCTACTGGTATTTTAGAAACAGCTATAAAGATCTGGAATTTCTTTTAAAGGGGTAATATATACAGAAAATACAGAACTCAAACCACCAGCCTTAAATTAATTCAAGCTCCTTAGCCAGCTCAAAATAGTACTTAAAATGTAAGGATCTGGTAGCCACACCCATTATGTTTGGTCTGAGCTTTAGAAAAGGAATCTATTTTCTGATCATGCAGTGAAGAAGGTTACTGCATTTCTATGCAGCAGAGAGGAGGCCCAGGTATGCCATATGTGTAATAACTCTTAAAACAGCAATAATAGTGCACAAGTGATCAATTAACCTGTTGGACTTATATTTCATCCCAGAAAAAGTCACTAGCCACAACTGGTTCCCCCGTATCAACCACTTCATCCCCCAGTTCTTTCTGCACTTTGATCAGTTTCTCTTCATAATCACCAGGAATATCTCGGGTTACAAAGTCCAGAAGTGATAATTCATCCGCTAACAATTGTTTCTTGTCCTCACTTTGGGTCTTGTTAAACGATAATTCACAAAGAGATTCGCTGCTGTGACTGTGGGAAAAACAAATTCCAGGTTTTAGCATCACATGTTGGTATTAACTGGACAAATAAGCATATGATTGATTAATAATTTCACCATGTTTCAGAGTACCTGTATTTGAACATTCTGACATTTATCATTTAACTGTCTTATATCCTTAAAATGCTCTTTTTACAGTTCATACTTGAACCTTTTAATCGTGACTACATGTCAGTGAGACCTGAACATGAATTAGTAACTGGACTGGGTATGTTGTGATTTAAAGCAACAACAACAGAAAGGGAGCACACACACAGCTTGGCTTTTGGAATTCTTTCCAGCCTCTTGAAAAAAGCTCTGCTTTGGCTCACATAACTAAGTGGGGGATTAGCAACATTCTGATCATGTGCTTCTCCCTGAGGGATGCAATGGAGGGATTTTGGATTTTTGTCTCTGCAGCCTTCAGTCTTATCTGGCCCACTTCATCCCTATCTTGACAATTCATGTCTGCAAATAATATCCTTGCTGAAAAGCTGAGTTGCACAACAGCCACCCCCAGATGGAAACTGCATCCATCAGTGATGGCCCTTATTAAATCCCAGTGAAGCAACTCAGACCAATCTATTTATCTCACGGGACAAAGGCAATGCCTCATTTTTCACAGCAAGGAGGGGGAGAAATCTCCAGTCTCTCTTTAACAACTCTTTTCTTGAAACATCCTTGTTTTACATGTTCCCACACATTTCATAGTCCTGATTAAGATCAACAGGGACTCAACTGCATTTTCATACTTGTCATCTGCAGTTTGCTCTGTCCCACCTCTTGGGAATATGTCCGCCTTCCACACAAAGCCAATCTTTTCACCCACCAGAGACCAGCCTCCCATCCAGACCTCAAATTCCCTCTACCTTACTTGGAGATTTGATTCTCCAACTCCTTCAGGATGAGGTAAAGCAGGTTATGTTGGCATCTTGGAAGTTTACTACAGCAAATATATGGACTTGGGAATTAAATCATGGATAAGTTTTTAAATCATTCTGTTCTAGATAGGAAAGTGAATAATTTGTTCATACCGCACCAGATGTAAAGATAACCTAAAATGTAGACAATGTAATGAGCAAGATATAAAACAATCCAATTAAATGCAGTGAATTCACCATGTTAAGGGAAGGAATCCTCTTTATAATCAATAGCTATGGACTTCAAGTGGAGTTGGCTACTACTAATTTAAAACTGCCATGGCAGTCACATACTAATCCTGAGCAACATGATTTGACAGTAAAATCTAGATGATAGGAGCCTAATGCTTTAAGGATATTTTACCACACAAATGAACATAAAGGACAGTGATGCAAGTAATAATAGAGATCTTCCATCTGGGATTGGTAGTATATACAGAAACCTTATACCAGTAGAATAAAATTGTATCTCTTAGCAATCACTGCCTTCGACCTGGTTTGAAATCTTGGGGCTATGAAAACCTAGTCTGATTGGTATCAAAGTTATATTAATAATTCCCTTCTGGCCTACTTTCAGCCTGCCATATCATGGGCTGGATCCAGAGACTGTGAATGCTTACCTATCAGCCATAAATCACGCAGAACATCTCAGCTTCAGTTCCCCAGGGTTATTCAATACTGGAACAGACTACAGAATGCTAATTCCCATATTATACAATGCTTCTAAATTCCTGAACAATGGTTAACCAATAATCTATCCTTCAATGAAATATTTTTATAGTTACTAAGCAAAGCAAGCCAGTTTAGTATAGTGGTTAAAGGCATCAGGCTAAAAGCTGAGAGACTGAGTTCTAGTCCCACTTTAGGCACAAAGCTAGGTGGGTGACCCTGGGCCTATCACTCTTTCTCAACCCTGGGAAGAAGAAGGCAAAGGCAAACCACTTCTGAAAAACCTTGCCAAGAAACCTGTAGGGACTAGTCCAGGCAGTTGCTAGGAGTCAAAAACTGGCTCAAAGGCACACACACACAAAAAAACCCAAAGCAAAGCACATCAAGACATCATCACAGAAAGACAATGATCACACTGTTCTGTGGCAGACCCTTAGGGAGACCAATTTGACATTCTTCCATGACTGTACAAGTTGTACCAATGTGACAAATACATGTACCTCTGTTATGTAAAAGCAGCCAAGAGCAAGTCTAGGCAGCTTCAGGACTATGTACTGTAAATGGGAAAAGAAGTTTTATTTTCCCCTTTTTGTATAATCTTAGAAGTCATCTTGGAAGGTCATCTCGGTCAACTCCCAGCTTGGTGTAGGATCAGCTAAAGCATTTGGTACAGATGGCTACCTATCCTCCTCCTATTCCACTGGTCACAGCTCCCACCACTGGAAACCCCTCCTAATATCTAACCAATCCATTTCCTGTAGTTTCAATCGTTTCTGCTTTTGTCTTTATGGTTATGTTCCTCCTGAAAATCAACACCAGTGGAAACTTTCCTTGAAATGCAAACAGCAGCCTCAGAAAGTGGCAGGGAAAAGAATTAAGGGTCTTTGTTCTGTCACATCCTTATTGTCTCAAAGCTACACAGAATTGCTCTTGATTACTGTTACAAAAATGTGTACACTGCCCAGAATCACCTTGTGTAAGTGTGTTCACTGTATTCTTCCAAAATCTAAGACAGTCTTAATGCTTGTGGTTGGGAACAATGATTTTGGTCAGGAGTTAAGATGTGAAGCCACCAATGGATTCCATCAATCAGGAAATGACTGAAATACACATGGCCTACCCAGATTCAAGGGGTTTTTTTTTGAGATATTTTAAAATGTTTCTTCTCCTTCTCAATACTACCATCTCAAATAAGACAGAACTTTTACCAGAGGACAATATTTCATTCACAGACTGCTGCAGGCAATTAAGCTCTCAGGATTTGGGGGACTGTACTTCATATGGACATTTTATGTATGCTTACCTTTTAAGTAATTTACCTTAATTATTTTTTCTATACCATTTAAATTGTTTTACATTTACATTTGCAGCTAGTAAGGAGTTAATCTGATTTTTGTTCTGCCTTGATTGTAACACAGATGTCTCTGGCAACGGTATGACACACAATGCCAAACTAATAGGCACTGGTCTGTTCCCCAAAACTGACTGGCTGACTTATTTATTTATCAAATTTATATGGCCGCCCAACTCACACAAAGTGATTCTGGGCAGTGTACAACAATTCATTAAAACAATAAATATATATAAAAACAATTATCATTAAAAAATAAAAACCACAAGGCACAAGAGAGAGTGAATGATAATCGCACTAGGGGAGCCATCTTGGGATTTCACCGGTCCCCTGGGACCCCCAGGCCTGGTGACATAGCCAGATCTTGAGGGACCTCTGGAACACTAACAGGGATGGAGCTAACCTCACTTCACGGGGGAGAATATTCCATAAGGCGGGCGCTACGGTACAGAAGGACCACTTCCTGGGACCTGCCAATTGTAGTTCCCTAGCATTAATTATATCTAACTAGCTTGATCTTAATTTACCAACGAAGTTCTGGGAGAATTTAACTAATTCTTCTTAACCTGAAGTTTTACCTCTGCATCCGACAAATCAACCCATGGGCACACGGGCAACGATCAAGAGCTCCATCTGGTTCCAGCTCCCAAGTAATTAGGTTGAGAAGCCCATCTGAAGGATTATGGCAAGGTTCTCTCTCGCCGGGGAAGGGAGTGCATATGGGGAACAGAAGGTCTGTAGGGAAAAGTTGAAGAGCCTGGTTATTTTTATTATATGCAAAAGCTGAATTATTTATATCATTCATGTTACTTAATTTGGGCCATCCTTCAGGGTTCAACCCCTCCCCCATACTGTCTTACAAGATGATTCAAAATAAATGTTAGGATCAAGGTAATAGCCACTAATAACAAACATTCTATCCAAAATGCTAAAAGTCAGAAACCATTGCAATATTATGAAAGGATAACTCAAGAGAACATTACAAAAAGCCACTCTTTAAGAATTTCTTAATTACAGTGATCCTGAAAAACTCCAATAGTATCTTGTTCCTGAAGCACTGGGAGGACTATGCTTCTCATCTCTTCCATTTTGCATGCAGGAAAAACAGATTTGTGTGTTTGTGCTGTGTGTATATGTGACAATACTGTTATATTATTAAGGCCTCATTGTAATCTCTTTATTTCTTATTATATCACTTTAAGATTATATTACAACAGACTATAACCGCAAATCAATGGTGGATATTTTTTCCAACAATTATTAATTTGAGAAAATGTTTTTGGGGTTCACTTAAGTTGCAGACATAATACTGTATTTATGACAAGAAAGCCCAAATGAAATCTTGCCCTGAAGTGCCATTGTGATATACACATTTCCTAGCTTCACAATTTCTCACTTGCTATGCAGCCTTACGTACTGATAATATTCCTGTTAAAGACAAGTTTAACTGAATCACAGAATTGGAAGGTGGCATTTAAAGCATTAAATCCAACCCCTGCTCAGTGTGGGAATCTATTAAGCTTCTGCTTGAACATTCCAATGAAGTAGTGTCTATCACTGTCTGGGTTCCACTATCAAATGCCTATTCTCTTAGGAAGGTTTTTCTAATATTCAGCTGAAAAATGCCTCCCTGTAACTTAAAATATACAATTCTATATCCTGCACTGTGCAATGAGAAATAATAGATCATAATCTTTAATGTGGTATCCTTTCATCTATTTGAAAAGTTACTGTCCCTTCAGTCATTTGTTCTCAAGGTTAAACATACCTAGCTCCTTTAATCTCTCTTCACAGGGTTTAGTTTCCAGTCCCCAATCATATTCACTGCACTTCTTTGAATTTTTTTAAAAGATTTTTTTATCCCATCTTTCTTATTTTTATTAATAACTCAAGATGGCGCACATACCTAATATTCCTTCCTCCTCCTATTTTCCCCACAACAACTCTGTGAGGTGAGTTGGGCTGAGAGTGAGTGACTGGCACCAAAGTCACCCAGCTGGGTTTCATGCCTAAGGTGGGACTAGAACTCAGTCTCCTGGTGAGACAGAATTCTTGGAATTCTGCTTCAAGTGTGTGCCCAAACGTGGACACAGTTCTTGAGGTGGAATCTAACCAAAGCAGAAGAGAGGGCAAAGATTACCTTCCGTGATATGGGAAATATATTTCTATCGGTACAACCTAAAATTGGATTTGTTGTCTTTGCAGCTACATCACTCTGCTGACTCATATTCAGATCTGCAATCAACTACTATTACAAAATCTTCTTTGCAGGTATCCTCCATCCTATACTGTACAATTGATTTTTAGTTTCCTTAGGGAATAACTTTGCACTTATATCTGTTAAATTTCATTCAGTTACTCGTAGCTTCTCCAACCTATCAAGAACATTTTGAATTTATTTGTCTCACTATGTCATCCAATATGGTGTCATCTGCAAATTTTTTCTACCTGTTAATCCAAATCTTAATAAACATACTGAACCATCAAGGATCCAAGGGTGATCCTTGTGGCACCCTATTTAATATGTCTCTCCAATTTGATAATGGACCACTGGTAAATACTGAGTACAATTTTCAAGTTAACATCTGTCCATTTAATTGTCACATCATCCAGTCCATCCTTAAATAGTTTGCTAAGTTGCATACCATGGCTGACTCTATGAAATGCTTTGCTGAACTCCAGATATGTCTGCAGCATTCTGGCAGTTATTACAGAAATAAATCTCAAACATTGAAATAAGATTAGTCTGGCAAGATATGTTCTTGACAAATCCCTGCTGACTTCTGATAATTACCACATGGTTGGCAAGGTTCTTAAGATCAATCTCTTTATACCTGGTCTAGAATCTTCCCAGATATTGATGTCAGACTAACTGATGTGCAGCTTGTTGGATCTTCCTTTTTCCCTTTTTTGATGATAGACACATACTCTTCTTCACTTATCTGGCACTGCATCAGTTCTCCAGGACTTTTCAAAGATAAACATATGAAAGTTCACTTAGTCTATCAGTTCCTTCAGTAAACTAGGATGCAATTCATGTGGTCCCTGATAACTGACTTCATTCAGCTCTCTGACCATATTTCTATCAATCTTTCTCCTTTCATCCTGCCCTTCACAATTTCTTTGTGGAACACAGAGTTTTTTGTTGAAGAAAACTGAACCAAAGTAAGAATTGACTAGGTCTACATTTTGTTACTTGTTAGCATTTTGCCTTCTTTGCTAAGCAGCTAGTATATTGATTGTTTTCCTTTTATTCTGAACATAAATAAACCTGTCATAAATTCAGGATGGTGCTAAAATTCAGGCAATACACAGATCAGCTCTCAGTGAATTTTCCTTTTTCCTTTGTTGTTACAAAAACATGAAGAAGGCTTTTAATTTTCAGTTTCCACTTTCAGCTAACTTTCTGGGAAATGTTCCAAACCTGCACCTGTTTATCTTTAGCTGGGCCCATTCAATCTTGGCTGTTTTCCCAGACTGCATCTCTCACTGAGAAACTAAACTTTACTCCTGTTCATAAAGCTGGCTCCTCACCAAGGATGAGGGACTTAACCAAGTTATCCTCTTGCAGGTAGCTTGGTTGCCACTGGGTGATTTGTATGGAGATAAGCTAACATGCCACTTTAGGATCTTCTTACCCCTGAACCTTGGAATTAGGAAATTTCTCTTTCCCTCCTGAAGGGTGGTGTCTGCACAGCTGCCACCACTGGATTGAGCACCTGATTTTAGGAAGACTTGGCTTCCTCCATGCTAAGTTCTTATGGATTTCTCTTCTCTCTAGCCTTATTCCCTCTCATGCAGATGGCTACTATTTGCCATCATCAGGCTGCTCATGTCAGGTTTCTTCCAATCTTTGGGGTCTATACCATGGGACTTCCTGGGGCTTTCTCTCTTTCCCCTCACTATCCCTTTCTTTGTCACCTGTCAGTGGATGCTCCCAGCTGCTGAGCAGGACTGGGAGGCTGTTGGACTGGACTGGTGGCTGCTTACTTTGGTTGAGTTTCTCTCACCCTCATCAAGGATGATTCTGGCTGGTCCCAGCTGGAAACTTGGGTAAGTTGAGTCTATTCTGGCCTCAGCCGTTCTCCACTTCGCAAACTCAACTGCTGCTGGCAAGGCCATAGTCATAACTAGCCATAACATAAAAGCCAATTCTTTTCATTGGCTCAGCTGACTGCCAACCAGGTTATTGGTTGAAATCTCCCCAGATCCACATAGTGGCCCAACCTTGATCCCTGATCTGTGTCCCATGCTATGTAGAGTTCAATCCTCTCTCACGCATGGTTTTAAATCTAAGCTGTACATGAATGATGTGGGTAACAAGCAGAATGAATGAGTACTGCCCTCTCACACAGCCTTTTTTGGTTGTTCTTAGAACGCTTTGCTAATCTCAGCTCATTCTGAGTTTTCCCTTTACTGACACCAGCTCCACTATGACTTGCTTTGTGATCTGGCCCTCTTTTTGCATCCTTGTTTTCAGAGCTTCACTAAGCTTTTTGTGTAGCCACATCCTTCTTTAGGAACTCCCACTCTTCTTGAGTTCCTTCTTCTGTTAACTTCTCCTGTCATGCAATCCAACTTTTCATTGCTCTGAATGAATTACAATTTTTTTTTTTTAAGTCCAAGATTTATATTTGACAATAATCAGTTTTAGCTTCCCTCCTTCATGCATCTTTGAAATATCTGCAATTAGTTTTTGGAAGCTATCATCCATGTGTTCACCTTGGACAGATAGTAGTGGTTGTCAACAACATTACTTTTTTCCTCCACTTACAATAATTCAAATGGCTTTTATAACAATTGCGAAATTCATTCATTCAGATTTCTGAGCAAGAATGGATATTCAAACATTCTGTACAACTCCCCCTTTTATCTCTCTCCTCAAGGGAGTCAGCCCAACAGGTCTTTATTATATCTATTAAATGAGATTTACCATTCTGTTGCCAGCATCTTGTTTCCTATATGTTGATCAGTAAAGTGCAGATAAGGAAGGCCATGAACTTTATATATCAAAGCACTGCTTTTTTTCATTGAGTAGTTTATGAAGCCCCATTTATCTGAAATCCATATATTAAGGTTTACATTTCCTCCACTCACAGGATTTAATTTAAAACCCTTCTAATGGACCTCTTCATGCTTTGGTCAAACACATTTTTACCATCCCTTGTGAGGTGAACCCCATCATCTGACAGTACCCCATCATCTAGATAACTCAGACTGTAATCTCAGAAATCAAATCTCTCTAGTTCACACTATTTGTTTAGCCAGTCACTGACTTGCAGTATTATTTCTCTTTCTGGGCATCTTCAATGGACTGGAAGGGTGGTTAAGAATACTACCTGAGCTGTCAATGTCCTAACTTTCTCCCAAGATTTCTAAAGTAATATAGTTGTAACTATTCCTTGCAGTGTCATTTATCCTCACATATATCAGTAGGAATAAATAACTGTCACCAGACTTGGTAAGATTTGAAAATTATTGTCACCACCTTTATTCTTGCTCCTGGCAGACAACAATTTCACAAGCCAATGGCTCCAGCTGCCATACAATTCCTTACCCTAGTGAATCACCAGCTATCACAACTCTTGCCTTTATCTTCTTTTAAGATATAGCTATCCTTTCTGCCCTTTGGAGATTTATGATCCTCTCTCTCATTCTGCAGTGTCTTTTTCTTCCCTTGAACATTCAGAGCCTATTTCATCTGTGAAGGCCTGAAAACGATTCCTGATTTCCAGCAGTGAGGAATATATTGTATGTCTCTTGCTTCTGACTGTTACTTTCATCTACTGCACTTGCAGCTCTATTTATTTGCCTTTTTTTACAGAGGGTTGCTTCCATCGTATATTTCTGCTGTGGAGCTGCCTTTCTTTGAACCAATAAATCCTCACATTTTTACAAGAACTAAAGCGTGGTCGCTCACCACTCCAGTCCTTTGACTTTTATTTCAAGGAGAGCTACGACCATGATTTGATGCAAATATATCCCAGGGTTTTTTCCAGGCAGGAAAACAAACATGCCTCAAGCATTCCAGGTCATTATTACAGATTTCTGTCCATCTTCACTTCTTAAAAACCTTTCTACTGGCTATATACGGTTTCTTCTTGTTCTTTTCTCAGGTGCTCAGGTTAAGCACAAACTCCTGCTTTGAAGGAAATTTTGTTACAGAATCCTCCTTAAATTCCCCTGCTAAACTCCCCAGACAAATTCCTGTTAATTCTCCCTGTTCACTCACTCAATTTCCCTGTAAGGAATCTGCTCTTCGCTGAAAGGAAATCTTAGAAGATATAAGAACATGCTGATTTGAAACATGATGCTCAATTGTGAAGAATGCTATATTAGGCCATCTATCTCTCTTTGACAAAAAAGCAATATTTAAATATTAACAATATTTGATCAATATCTTAACAGAAATATAAACTCATATGCTGATGTAGTAACTTGTTCTGTTTATTATCTATAGAAAAGGAGAGGAACAATTTAAAAATATAAAAATGACTGACCTTTTGTAAACGCACAGCACATTCCTGAATTGCAGTCATGTTGATTTTCACAAATTGTTCCATTTTCTCCTTTTGAGACAGCTTTCATGCACTCACCCCATACACAGAGCTGTTGTCCACAACACTCCACATCCCGAGAGCAGAGCTTAAAACAAAATAAGAAAATGCCCACAGGAAAGACTTATTGGAAGTAGTCTGATTTAATGCCTAGATCTACAGTGAGATTTGGAAAAATGGAGCTCTGTGTCTCTCTCTGTCTAGCATGACATAAACTCTTTTTTCCCCTACAAACAAAAGGGAATGTAATCTGCAGACAAACAGATAGCATGATGTATGTCAAATGTCATAAACGTTAGGAGATTTTAAAAGTGCCTGTAATATTATTGTTTTAGAACAGAACATTATGAAATTTGCAGTGATAGTACAAAGATAATGCAGTGATATTGAGGTGAAATATCCATGCCATCATCTGAGAGTCTGTTTGTGGAAAAGAGAAAAAATGTTCATAAAAAATAACACCTAAATAATTACATTCTAATGAAATAATGTAATGTAATGTAATGTAATGTAATATATTGTACAGTGTACAATTGGTACACTGATATAAGCATTCATTATTGTATTAAATAGCTGTGTGAAATGGAAAGCAAGTGAAGGATTTTGAAGCAAACAAGAGTAAAGAGGAGTACATTTTGTGACAGGAAATATTGAGTTTTCCCTTCTATATCTTGGGCTACTTACCCTGTCATTAAATATCTTCTAAAAACATTATTTTTCAAACTGTTTCAGTGCAATTTGAACTATCAGTTCCTAAATAAGTCTGACAAGACATCTTCATGAAAATAAAGAAAATAAAAACCAGACCACAGTCTGCATATGAAAGTAATTTAAGTTCCTACAATCCCTTCAGTGTCACTAGCTAAGTCTCCAATCAATTTAAACAGGAATAAAGAATACCCCTCCGTATGCCCTACAGAAGCTTCATTTTATCTGAACAGACCTCAATTTATTAAATGTTGCATTAAAACAGACTGATTTAATAAACCCTGCAGCATGCTTCACCAATCTGGGTATTCTGTAGATGAGTGGATTTCCATTCCCAAAATCTTCTAGCCAGCACAGCCATTGCTGAGATTTTTATAAGACTATAAACCTGGAAGGCATCAAAATTTGGTGGTTGATCTAGAGCAACAGTTCTCAAAATGTGGTCTGGTAACCCCTCGGGATACCCGAGACCCTTTCAGGGGGACTGCAAAGTCAAATAAATAAATATTTTAAAATTTCTGTTTTAATTTCTAATACAGTAAATATGGATGGATATAATCCACATAAACCAAAGCTCTTTGGGGTCCTCAAGAATACAAAGGGGTCCTGAGACCAAAAGGTTTGAGAAATGCTGATCTAGAAGGTTATTCTTATATATTTAATATTTTACAGAATTGGGAACTAGGTAATAAAATACAAGAATTCAGAAGCCATTTTATCCATGCATTTCCAGCTTTAGAAACTGTCATGCTTATACACAAAATCTACTGCTCCTGGACCCGCCTCAGGTGAAGCATTATATGTAGGCATAGTGCAACAAATTTAGCTCAACATTCAATCTGTTAACAATTTAATCCTAACTTATCAACTGACTGATAGAAAAAGAAAGCAAATATAGATGAAATGCTCACTGTGTATTGCTGTTTGCAAATCTGACAGCTGTACTCCAAACCAGAGAATGCACAATATTTTCCAATCTCACAGTCTTCGTGTATAATGCACTCCTAAGAAAAAGAGTAATGTGCCTTCAGTAAACAGAAAAGTATGGTTATTCAGTAAAACTGCATGCCACCAAAGGTTCATTTTTGCTTCAATGGCACCTAGTACAGCAGTGTCACACACTGCATTATGTACCAAGAGAGTAATAAAACAAACCTGATGCCCCAAAATGAATTATATACAGGGTTTATATACAGCATTGCATCAGTCCAGCTAGCCCTAATGTGGCAAAACTGCTTTAGACTATTTCTCTGATGAGTTTTCTCCAAATTACAAACCCCAGACTTCAGCCCAAATATATAGAAAGTCCACAACATTTCTTCCAACGTGAAAACAAGCAAAACTGGTCTGTATGTATGGATCTCCCTAGCAAATTGCCCTAACTGGACTGGTTTATCTAATCATACAAAATCAAAGATTCCAGCAATGCAAAGGAGTCCAATGCTTTGTCACAGTGTGTGTTTTTTTCAATGCAGAAGTCAGATAAGTGAGAAATATATAGCAAATACATTCCACAGTAATGTACTGAGTTGAAGGAAAACCACATTCGGTCAGCGAACATCCAAATTATACCAAAAAAAGTGAAACAAATGTTTTGCCTCAAATTTAAATTTCTGGCCAAAGAATTTCACTGAGAGATCAAATTTATTGATTCAACAACGTTGCTGCATTTACTGAACAAATTGCTGAACTTTCAGGACAAACCGGAGAAAGGATGGATTTGCCAGACCCACGCTCTCTTGGATTTTATTAAAGAATGGGCCCCCCACCCACCCATCCATCTCCTGCATCATTACTGTGAACATACACAGTCAGACTCTGCAAATAAGTTTACAGTTGGCAATCCCTGTTGCAAAGTGTTATCAGAACTGAAGCCCAACAATTCTAAATAGAATCAGGCTGGAGAAGACCCATTTACCCTACCGAACTGTGACTCCCCTGTGCGGACCTGTGGCCCTCCTTTTAAATTCTTACTTCCTGTCACTGTTAGCCTTATTTAAGCATGTTTGAGCATCTGTGGTTTTTCTAGCCCTGTTGCCATGACGTAGTAGTTACTTCCAAACTCCCCCCCCCCAAATTAAGTCCCAATATGCCTGATTTATATTCCTAATGCACTCATTTTATAGCCAACATTCATGCTGTCAGTCTCAATAGCTACCTCTCTTCAGACAGGAGAAAAGCAATCATGTCTGTTTTAATTCTCTGCAGCATCTCTTTCTTGACCAAAAGTCTCCTGCTGCTAGCTGTTAAGTTTTCCACTTGCTCTGTTTGACTCATCTGAACAACTAAATATTTTTCATAGTTTAAAGTATTTTTCCCCTGCCCTTCCTTCTTTGTTTTTTGTTTTTTTTTTAGGCACAGTCTTGAATATTTTGGAAATATGCTCTGTTTCATGTAAGAATCAAAAGTACTTCTACTGCAAGACCTTTTAAAGAAAGGTAGGGTTTCAAGGTAGGGTTTCAAAATTCTCCATGGGGAATTTTGTGAACTATGTAGCAAGCGTGAAAATTGTCTTGGCACAGACCCATCGCAAAAATTATTAAGAACTGCATACGTGGATAAAGGTCACAATCTGTTTCCTAAAAGAAAAAAAATAAGAACACCCTTAAATTAAGCTCACCTCCTGAAGACTGCATCCACAGAAAAGACTTGCCACAACCTTCTAAAATGTTTCCGCAACTTCCCAGACCAGCTAACTGCACTAAAATTCTTGGCACCGTTCACCCAAATGTTAACCAGGGTTGACTCCTACTTAGCTTCCAAGATCAGCTAGGATCAGCTAGAGGCTGCAACCTGCTGAAACAGTATAGTTGCTACTATTGATCAAATTATGCATACAATTACTGTGGTTTAATCCAACTCCACATAGATGGATGGACGGACAAACAGACATGCTAGTCACAATCTAGAAACTAATAAAAGCCTGGCCTGCTTCTGTCAACTCAGTGCAGTTCCACAAGTAAGTGAGACACAGCTGCATTAGTGGTTGTTATCCAGTTGTGAGTTACTCCTTTCAGAAAAGAAAGGCAATCAAAATGAAGACTTTTTAAAGAATTGTCCCAAAAGTTTTAGCCTCTGGTTAAAAATGTGATGTTGACTTTTTAAATCCTTGCAGTGCCATATTCCCTAGAGTATAGAACATGTAGAATATTTCCCTATTTTATGACTTTATCTTTTTTGTTCAACTGCTGGGCTGCATAAACATACTGCTCATTATGCTAATCATGTCAATAGCAGCACGTCACAGAAGCTTTAGACCCAAGAACCCAGGCGTGGAGATTTCCTGTAAAACTATGTCTGATTAGCTTTCCTAATTTAGTGGCATTAAAGCCAAATGCGGAGTTATTGATAAAGTGATTCACTGCTAAACCAGTAAGAGCAGAGTTCCAGTTTCCTCTCTCTCAGCCATGGAACTGAATATGTCTTTTAGCTAAGTCAAAAAGTTGGGATTTCTCTCGCTCTCTCTTTTTTTTAAGCTGACACCATGTTTTGAGGGCAGGACAGAATACTTCTTTGTATATTTCCCTTGGTAGCTTCCAACTGGACAGTTCCCAGGCCTCTTGATCAAAAGGTATTATATAACTATTCCTTCAGCCTACCTTTTCGCATTCTTTGTAAGTGGAAGGCATCAGTGAGAAAACATGCAAGAGTTACCAATCAGAACAATATTATTAATTTATTATCTAACTAAGCACGTCTCTGCCTTCACTATCTACATATTTGGATAACAAATTGCCTATAATGCCAAAAACACAGTATACAAAATTGAAATGTGTTTCAGTTAAAAAAAAAAAGTTATGCTCAACATAACTGATTTAATCTTTGAAGCAGCACAAACATAAACAAGATAATCCTGAACACTTCTGCTTACAAGCACTACTTGTTTGCGAGCAACATACTAAACTTAAAGTGCAATATCTGTTTAATATACTGAATGCATACAAAAAATAATACTGACTTTGGCATTGCTGGTTTAGAAACTAAATTTTTGCAGTTCAGAATTCTGTTCCCACTGCAACTTATTTCTTCCATGGCAAGAATTCTGATTTTTGATTTCTCCTCCATGTGCTATTCATCTGAATTACATTCTATCAAACATGTATCTTTCTAAAAAAAATACATGAATATATGGTTTTAACTTGCTTTCAGTTTTTATTGCTTCCATATCAGCACTGATTTGTTAACTACTCTGAGAGTATATTACTGCAGGCTTGGCTTCCTGTTTAAGTGAAACAGCAAGTAATAAAGCATTTTAGTGTGATGGTATTATTTTTGATGGGCTACAGCAGCTGCGGTTTTCAACACTGTTTACACCTGCTGACTTTGAAATCAAAATTGAAGGAAGCAGTAAACAATAAATGCATGGAAACTTAAGTGCTTTTTTCCATCACAGTTTTAATACCATACACAAGCTAACAGTTCCCAGGACTACATATTCCATACACTCCTAATGATTTATTGATGGATAGTTACTCCATTTATATGAAAGAAATATGAGCCTGAGTTAAAGATGATGCTCCCCAAGAAAGGAAGATTAGACAGAAAAAAATAATTCTCATAAAATCTAATGATTTTCCTGTTTTAAATTATTTAAGAAAAAAATAGCCCCTCTCAAATAAATAGAGATAAAGCCTACAGTATGTGTAATTTTGCTTCTTGTGTAGGTCTTCCAAGTTATTTCTTCAAAAGCAGTTCTAATAACTTAATTTCCTGGTAAGTTTCTCACACATAATGAAGTACAGTTAATTTTTAACAGGCCTTGCAAAGTCTATTTTTGGAAATGATATACAAGTGGTAGATATCCAAATCACCAGCTTTATCAGTATATGCAGAAACATAAGATACAAATTAGGATTTTTCAAACATCTAATAAAATGTTCAGTTAAATAAAATCATCTCAAAAAGTGAATTGTCTAGACAGAGTTGTTTTATTAATTGACATTGAAAGCAGATCAATTCAAGAAAATTCCAAATCAAAACATGATTAAATCTATATAAACCCCTGTAAATTAGTTATACCAGTTACAGATTTAAGGATGGGTGGTTGTGCTACAACATTTTCTCTGCTTATCAGGGAACAAAGAGGAAAGCTTACTGGTTATTTTGTACAGAAGTCCTCGCTTAATTGTTCGTTTAATGACAGTTCAAAGTTACAACGGTCTCAGAAAAAGTGCTTTATGACCTGTGCTTACACAACCATCACAAACTGTCGCACCCCCCCATGGTCACATGATCACAATTTGCAATCTTTTTATGATGGTCATAAGGCAAATCACCACAGTCGTTAAGTGAATTTCATGATCATTAAGTAAATTACATGGTCATTAAGTGACTTCAAGCAAAAAATGTCCATTGGGGAAGCTGAATTCACTTAACAACCATGTGATTCGCTTAACAACCACAGTGGTTTGCTTTACGGCCATTGTAAAAATGGTCATAAAATTGTGTCCAGTCACATGGTGACTCACTTAACAACCATCTCACTTAACGACCAATTTTCTGGTCCATATTGTGGTTGTTAAACGAGGACTACCTGTAATCAGAAATATCTTGATGGAGTACAAATCTAATTTCTAATCATGTTTGTGTGCTGCATTAAATTTTTATTATATTAAGATAACTCCACATTTCTTAAAGTGATAGTGATATTTGCACCAAGATTTCATATCCATACAATCAGAAATTAGATATCAAACCCATAGGCAAGGTAAAATCAATATTAATTATATTATATTGCAATCTTCCCTCAAAGTATATTCAGTCTACAACCACCAAACTTTCCAGCAATTTAGCAAATGGGTTTTAGTGATAATAACCTTGAAACACACACTACATTATGCCTGGAAAGATGGCCTATCTTACAACTATTGACAATTTACAGTCACCAGAGTAGCCCATAAATATAAATAATGTGCATTACAATGGATTGTCAAACAACCCTAACTTTTTAGTCATGCCATTTAGGTTTTGACAACTTTTACTCAAGAAAGTTACTAGCATGCTATTTTTCAAAAGAAGAATTACTTACATGATTTCTCTTTCTGTCTCCTTGTATTGATGTAATAATAGTTTCAGAATAGCTAGTAGATCCAGTTTTGTTATCTGTTGCCTAAGAGAGCAAAACAGGTACACTATATTAAAGCAATGATTTTAATCCATTTTAATAATGTTCCAGTGCTGTTTTTTGTTTACCTCCATGAACAAAACTATCACTTTATAATTGCTGTGAAACAGACACTTTTAAATTGCTCTAAACCAGCAGTTTTTAAACTCTAGTGATAGGAAATTGGACGAGTTTGGTAATTTTTTTTAGTGCCTTAATCTCAACAGAAACCCATCCACTTTCCCTAGAAGAGATATTATATAAAAAAAATCTGAAGGAACCACATGTTTATGAAGTTATAAACTTAACCACTACTTGTAAACAAACAAGGACTAATCTGTCATGAAACCATTCTACAATTTTACTGCAGCAAGGGGATCTGTGTCAATCTAAGACTGTTTTCCTTATTCTAATATTTCTGAAAAAGGGTAAACAACCTGATGCCTTCCAGATGTGTTGCTTGATGATGGTCAACACTTATGGGAGGTAAAGTCTGCTTCAACTGCAGAGGCTTTTTTAGAGCAGGCTACAGAATCCATGCAACATCTCTAGTCTATACTGCCATAGGGGGAAAATGGGCAAAGTTTTGTTGTGCAACTTTCTGCTATTTTTTGAAAAAAAAAATAAAGTGGGAATCACTACATTAAGCCTCTATGAGGCAAAAGACTTCCATTTTTACCCTTAGAAGTTGTCAAAATGCCCCCAAATGACCCCATCACCCAACAGCATTATTAAGCCTTTCTCCTATGGCCTTTGGAACCAAGACAGCAAATAAGAACTGTACAGCCAGTTAAAAAATGCTGCCCACACTTGCTTTAAAGTGGTTTCCAAAGATCTCAATAGGAATTGAAGGGCCAAGTCACAAAATTTTACTAGACTTATGCAGTGGTTTAGATTTGAAGGCAAAAAGGTGTTTCGGGGTGTGTATTAACACAAGTTCGCAAACTCTGCAACTCCTTAAACCAAACACCCTTTAAGAAGCTGCGGACAGGTGCCGCCACTGTATTCTGAGACTTATACTACCAACACATCTGGTGGACATTAAGTTGAGGAAGATCAGTGAAGTCTATAGGATTAACATATACAAATATAACAATTTCATCAAATGAAAGCTTCTCACCTTATTAATTTCTTGGTGTCTATGTACAGTCTTATTTCCAATTTTTGTATCTGTGTAGGATTCATTATGGTAGTTGGCAGGAAGCTTCCGAAAATCAATTCCCATTATCTTTTTAGAACCTTCTTCCTCTGCTTCCATG